ACTAATATTATCAGCAGCATTAAATATTCTGCACTTCTAAATCAAATATCCTTGATATGAAAATGAACCTAAGAAAACTTTTTTTTTAAAACAAACAAATTTATTCCGCAAAGACAGTCTCCTTTTTTTTCTTGTCACCCTCTAAAGTGATTTTGATAATTTTTTCCCCATCGTCTCCAAGTGTGGTATACATATCAAATCTCACTAAAGGATCATTTTGTTATCCAATAAAAAAAAAAAAGAAAAAGAAAACAAATGGATGTAGAGGGCCCTCTTTCAGCCAGCTGACTGGAAGTGCGTTGTGATATGTTAATCTACACCTCAAGCAGCCCCAGAAATTGAACTTACATTATAGGAAAGATATATTGGACATTTTCAGCAGAATGAGGCTAAAATTGAAGCTTTCTGGAAAAAAATCCTCCAAAAAACACTTAAATGGTGTAAAGCAAAGGATGAATATGTGGTAAAGGAAGATGATGCCTTCCTCTGTCCTCTAGTAGTTTGGGTCTGGATATCTTACTCAGAATAGTTTTATCCTAATGAAATTTTACATTTTTTTTTAGTATAAATAAAATGTGTAGTGATTTCCACTTGGAAAATAAAGTTTGGTCATCAAAACATCTACAGCGAGATAACCTGAGATATCTGGACAATGCTCCCTTAAACATGTTCACACATTACAGCAGCCGTCTTCTATGGAAATCTCAGTGATGAAACAATTACAGGGTTTATACAGGAATGAGTAACTCTAATTTTATGTTTTTTAAAGCTCTTACCGGTAGAAATAATTTTAATGCCATAAACAAGTACCCATGACTCTCATATATACACGGCAAAATCCTTCATCTTTACCGTCTACAGGCTGCAGCCATTTCCCAAATTCCTCGATTTCCAGCCATTTTTGTTGAAATTAGCATTTTCCCCATTCTCTAACTTTTTTGAACAAAGCTTTTTTTTTTTGTTAAATAAAGAATTTTAAATGCCACAATAATCAAATTTAATAAATTCTAAATGCCATAATAATCACATTTAATAAATTCTAAATGCCATAATAATCACATTTAATGAATTTTAATACCAATTCCGGCCTTAATTTAAAAAATAATAATTTAATGACTTAATGACTTTTAATGACCCGCAGAAACACAGAATTAGAAATAGTAAACAACGACAAGGTGGCTGCAGTCTTATTAGATGAGATATTAAGTGTGGTACTAATTTCCTTAAATTTTTTTTGAGTAAATTTACTAAGTTTAAACATTTAATTTTATTTAAGTTTTCATTAACATTTTTTTCTGTGGCAAGACTAAATTATCTAAGTTTTTTTATTCTTTCCCTCTAAAAACAGAGTAATTAATCTAGAAACTGCGTAAATGAAAGAAATACTTTAACGTTGATGCTGCCTTTATTGAAGTATGAATCCTGGATTCTACTAATAAGTTTTTAATGCAGGAGGTGTTTTTTTTATTATTATTTATTCATCTTTTTAAATTCCCCCTTTGTTGAGATAAGCACCTTGAAAATCCTCTCCTTAGGAACATCCTTGGATTACTAATTAGCGTAGAGAAATAACGAATGACTAATGTTTCATTAAGTCAACGATTTTATAATAGGTAGTTAGAGAGATAACGGGGAGCAAATCAGTATTCACTGCTGCAAACTAATCAGCCTTTAAAAACAAAACAGGTGTGCAGCTGAACAGCAGACCAGGCAGAGTCAGACTCCATAAATCACATCACCCTTCAGATGTTTCCAAACAGCAGCTTTTAGAAAAGCACACCAAGCACCAAGAGACCAGGAAAAAAGAAGGAAAGAAAAGGAGGAGATGGTGCATTTAAGGAAAACTGATTTTTATGTATCCAACACCCACTTCTGCCCTCGTTCGGCCTCTGTACTCCCACCTAACTTTCCCATCTGCCATTCACAGAGAGCTTATGATGCTGCAATCTGGGAGGCTGAGATTATATGGCATGGGTGAGGAATGGAGGGAGGGGAGGAGGAGGATTTGAAAAAGTGAAGAGCCCTTGATGTGGATTCAGCCAGAATATTACTCAATAGTCAGGAGCAGATGCAGCCTATAGAGCCCCCACAGATGAGAACAGAGGACAGCCGCCCTGTAATAAGGCTGACACTGAAACAAGCAGGCTGATGATGTCGGATTTCAGACCCAGATGCATTAAAGTGCCTTGTCCTGTTTTCAGCTGTGCCTGAACTTGCTGACAGAAGAGCTGCTGTATGTACATCTACTAATAAGGACAACTCAATAACTGACAGCTCCTTTAGAAAAACAACATAAAAAGGTTCAGAAGCACCGATAAGTTGGGAAAACACGCAACAAATATGAGTCAGAAATCTGTTTCCACTAATAGGATGTCAGACAGTTCAGTTACTGGCATCCCCTGGTCATGATGAAAATACAGCCTCATATTGGAGAAATTAAAAACAACAGTGTCTACAATAAACAGTGTAACATAATTAGAGCGGACATCTAGATACTCGACCAAGTATCTGGGTGATAAACTGGACTGGAGTAACAGTGATGCTCTTTGCCAGAGGAGCCTGAGTGGATTCTACCTGTTGTGTCATTATCCATCTTCTACTAGCTTATCTCCAGGTGGGAGGTAGCAACCCCTCAGTGACAAGATGCAAGACAGGAGAACGCTGGTAAAGGTAAAATAATTAGTGAGCGAGCTCTTCCATCCAATGTTTGAAGCCGTTACAGAACCGGACAGCTCCTTCAGTGACAGATATACTAGGTGCACAAATACAGCTTTATCGCAGATCCTTCCTGCAACCACCAAATAAACTTTCAAATTAACAATCCTCACAAAACCATTAATAGGTTGGTTTTTTTTTTATGTTGTAGGTTTTTTTTTCTTAAAAAATTCAAATGTATCATTTGTAGATTTGTTTTACTCCTCTATTCAATTACAAGTGTTTAATAAGAGCATGATAGCTTTAATAACTGAACTGTCTTTTTATGATGTTTGTCCCATTGATACAGTTTGGTGCTCTTATTTCTATCCCCCCCACTTTGTACATCTGCATGCTTCAAAACTTTGCTAATGTATGGAGATAAATATGTCTCAATAGTATTCAATCAAATCAAATAAATCTAAAAAATAAAAATAGTGATCATAATGTTTGGAATTCTAATGAATCTTTTTTTGTAATGGAATAATCTTTTGTTTTCTTTTTTAATGTCTCAATTTTCTCATGAAGAGAAAATATGATTTGCACAACATACATGTTTTACATATAGTTCTTTAGAGACTTTTTTTTTTTTCAAAATATATTCTGTTAATTTTTTTTTTTTACTCCAATTCAAAAACTTTGACCACTATACATTTTTTCGCAATGAGATTAGTTTTTGTTTGATTGAATAATATTTGAACAACTTTATCTGCATACTAATGGTGCCTTTTTCCCCACTGTGGGAAAATAAATAATATGGCTACGCTTATCTAAAGTAATTTAATTTCTGGGGGAAATCTCTGTTACGGCTACTCTTGCATCAAAATAGTTTCCCAAAAAAAAATCAAAAATGGCCAGAGTAGTTCTTAGGAGGAGATTTTTCGACACACAAAACAAAAAGCACTTTTGGGGAATATTCTTGTCTCAAAAAGGGGTGTTTCTTTACTTATAAAAAATAACAGAAATATTCTACATTCCCCTTTCAACTGCACCACATGTTGATGTGATTATGTGAGTTATTGAAGTTTTTGGGAGGCACACAAAAAATAAATGACAGAATATTCACAAATGCCAGCCTATTGGGGGTTTAACCAGGCAGCTTAGAAAATTATGATCACCAACATCTGAGAAGATAATGATAAACCACCGAAGGAAATTGTTCACAATTTCTTGATGGTTAAGGTGTGAAGAAGTTGCTGCTTATTAAATCAAAACAGCAGGTCTGTATGAAAGTACCCAATAATACAAGCCTGAATGAGAAATCGAACCTGGTAAAATTATCATGACAAAAATAGGATAAGAAAATGGTCATAAAAAATATCAGTGGATCTCTGCTGCTTTAAAGAGCTGATATGAAGCCTAAACTTGATCAAAGTCAGAACAATAAATACAAGAACCGCCACACTGGTATTAAAAACTGTCCTTAACTGACACAGCAGAAGCTGTGCTCCAGGGTGGCACAGTGGTCTAAACGCCTCTGCTATCATCACCACGACAGAGAATCGCAATGCGATGGCCCCCCACTGTGCTTCCTTGATCAGCAGCCACATTAATCCTCTTCTTGACTCGGCACCTTTACCAGCATGGGTTTAACTTCCCAACAATCAGCACCGTCTACACAGCTGGAGCACAGGGGCTGCTGACTGAGCGAGGGGAGGCTGATCGCATCAATGGCTGATTAGAGCGTCCTGTGAAAATGGGAGGAGCAAAAGCTGCGGCTCTAATTACAGATATAATGAGTCTTGTGTGTTTACGACAACTGGACAAAGAAACCCTGCAGAGACAGATTCAATAAATCCCATTTCTCCCTGCCTGGATGGACTGGTAAAAAAAAAACACAGATCTGGAAAGGTCATAATGACTTCTATCGGACGATCTTTGATCTGGCCCGCAAAGACAACACACACAAGTCGACATTCACCGTGAACACACAAAAAAATCTCATCAGGGCCAACCATCCCTGTTGTCCCAGGTGAATAACAGAGGAGAATCTGTAGGGCAAGGAGGGAAAACTGCCTCACTTTGCAGAGATATTGTTAGTGATTGCATGTGACCATGTTGCACCTTTTACACCACTGTAAACAAGACATTTTTTAAGCGCTACAAAAGTAATATCAATCAATTCAAGTCCTCCTCACTTCATCATATATTGTGAGTTTTAACATGAAGGATATTTTGCATGTTTGCTACAAAACTTATTTGTTTATTCAAGTATGGATTTTGCCTTTTCCTCACAGAGTGACAAAGCGATAAATTAGCATTAGGAAAAAGATTAAATAAGAGAAGGGATGTCGTTTGATTCTTACCTGTAATGTACATGTGTGACTGTAGGAGGCCTATAACCAAAGATCCACGTCTGGATGTCCATTGGCTTTGCTTTGGGGTACGCTATGGTCACGTCTATAACCCACTGCAGGCCTTTACTTTTATTAACTGTCATGGAGAAAGAAAACAAAAAACACAATTTGTAAAAAAAAAAAACATAAAAAGGCATACTTTTAGTTCAATAGATTTAACAGCGTACTGAAGGACAGGATAGGTTCATAAATTAATCTTAACAGACAGATCCAACAACCTAACAGTATTACTAGACTTACTCTTTTTAATTTTTTTAATGGATATTTCCAAAGGGGTTAGGTTTTATACATGTAATCTGTAAGAAGTTCAGACTGAAAGGACATAGGAAGATGAATGGAAGCACTTGAACGTATGATGGGCTGTTGGGGCTATGAAGCAGCAAGGGAATAGGGTTTTGAATTGGCAGGAAAAAGGAGGTATGTAACAAATGGATAAGAAGAGAATGAAAGAAGCCTTTATATTTTAGGACAGATGAACGGAATGATTCGGTAGAACTGCGGACGTAGAAGTTAAATGCAAAATTTTGCAAGGATGAACTAGTAGATATTTGCATCCATGGACCAACTGGTGAATCAATAGAAGGATGATTGCATTTTAAAATATTTTAATCAGCATCTCTAATATTTCGTCAAACTGATTAACAAAAAAAAATGGATGGATCTTGGGATTGATGGAAATAAATAAACGGAAAACATGACAGAATAAAATGAGAAAAATCCAAAATACTTTAACAGCCTTCATTTTTTTTTTAAAGACATGAAAGATAGTCATGATGAAATTCCAGACTCTGTAAGAACATTGCGTCTTTGAAAAAGAAAAAAAAAAAGGTTTAAAAAAAATTGCGGTGAGGTGGGAGGGTCGATGTAGAGAGGTAGGAAAGACGAGACATGTTTAATTGTAGGAATCTGCCACAGGCTGGGTTTTCAGGTGTTGTTCAGCTGAGTCAACTCTGTCTAAACGCATTTAGATTAATTAGATGATGTACAACATGGTTGACGAGACTCAATGCTTCACATCCATACTCAAAATCTTGCTGATGGTAAAATAATTCATTCATTTAAGCATGAAGAATCTTTAAATTCTGACCAACAGCTGCAACATGGTCCTTCTAGAGAAGCTTTCAGAGAGAAATCTATAACCAAAACAGAGGAAGAGACTGGTCTAAACATGTTCAAGAATCGCCTCTTTCCTGGAAACCCAGAGGCAATTCGTAATAACCTTCAAGTCAAACAAGCTAATTAAACATCAGAGATAAATGGGGAGTATGTTAGCAGTGCAAAGTAGCTTTCACTTTATAACGCAATAGATTATGTCACATTAGATGGTTTTCCCTGCCTCAGTGTGCTTTGCAGTAGGTATTACAGACTCTGAGTGGATGTAATTAAGTGAGTTAGTGTTTTGCTGCATCAAACTGCAGCTTGTTAAGACACTTTTTGTACCAACAGAGGCAGCTTTTGTGGGTGGGAGAGTTCTGCTGAGGTTAAGATACTTAACCTGGTTAAGACGCTGCATCTGTAATAGAAAACAAAATCCCATTGCTGGTGCTTGGTCAGGAAGAAAGAAGGAAATATGGCTCCATTGTGTCCAAAAAAGGTTAAACTGAAAATATTTTGAGATATTGAGGTGGAGTGTTGACCTGGTGGTTAGATCAGCGCGCATTAGCTCTAAGAAAGATGCAAGTACCCGGTTCAATCGCCACAGCCTCCACTTTGGGTCCCTGAGCAAGACCCTTAACCCCACACTGCTCTCTGGGCGCTGCACAGTGGCAGCCCACTGCTCCCCAAGGGGATGGGTTAAATGCAGAGGTACATTTCTCCAATTTGAGATCAATAAAGTTCAATTATTATTATTATTATAAAACAGCTTCCAATCATCAGATCGTCACTTAGCTTGAGGCATAACCTGGGACTGATCTTTATTGCAGGTGTTTTAGATTTGTTAAAAAAGAAAAAAAACATTTAGGCTCCACATACTGAAATGTTTTTACTGATATATACTAAAACATAAACATATAAATGAATAATCTCCAACCTCTGAATATAAGAAGGTAGCTGTCAGGGATAGATTGCAGATAATTTTGGATTCTTTGTTTGTTTAAATTATAACCGAGCAAATATTTTCTACAATGATCCGTCTTCCCCTAAAATTAGATAATGCCAACATGCAAATGCACACATGGTGAACATTTCTCCAATTACCTCATTTTACTTTTCATTTTATTAAAGGACCATGTTTAATGTCATATTAACATAAGATTTTCATAAACACTGGATTACTTCATTGCTTCACATATTTCCATTCATAACGCTTCAAACTCCTGGGAAAACCCGGTCCACACATTCAAAAAGATTTTTTTTCAACAGGTATCTTTAGTTACTGTTACAGGCTTAAAGTGGCAACAAAAGAAATTTACCATCAGAAGAAAAACGTAGGAATGGAAAAAAAAATGTAATGTAATTTTATATTAGAGCAGTTTTCTAAAAGGCAAAAAAAAATGAATATATTTGTTAGGAAACTGCTGTTGACATTCTTGCCAGTTTTTCATAGGATATTATTTGTTTATATTAATATCCAAATAATATTGTTCGAATGAAATTAAGAAATATGTCATGATAAAAGTTTTGGTCATATGGTTCAGCCCTATGAGCCTGTGGTAAGAAAAGCGGGGTACGCCTATTTTTATAGCACAATTCATGGTGCTTTACATAATTTGGAAAGTAAAATATAACAAAAATAAAAGCAGAAAAGAAATCCAGGATTAAAAAAAAAAATAAAAACAGGTACTAAAACAAATGAAACACCAAATCCTTAAACTAATGATACCTCAGTTAATATAATTTCTCTACAGTCAAAGGCAGCTCTAAACTAATGGGTTTTTAACTTTGACTTAAAGAACTCAGGCTTTCAGCACTTGTAAAGTCTTATGGAAGTTTGCTCCAGATCAGTGGAGCACAGGAACTAAATGCTGCTTCTCCATGTTTGGTTCTAGTTCTGGGTGAACAGAGTAAGCTGGAACTAGAACATCTGGGAGGTCTTGGAGGTTGATCTGTTATGTATTGTGGTGCTGATCCATTCAGTGATTTATAGACTACCGTAACAGAAGGATTTTTAAGTCTATTCTCTGGACTACAGGGAACCAGTGGAAGAACTTCAGAACCGGGCTGATGCGTTCTACTTTCTTAGTTCTAGTGAGAACACTGGCAGCAGCGTTTTGGATCAGCTGACTGATGGACTTTTTAGGCAAACTTATGAAGATACATTCGCAGTAATCAATTCTACCAAAGATGAATGCATGAATAAGGTTTTTCTAGATCCTGCTTGGACATTAGTCCTTTAATCCAAGAAATGTTCTTCAGGTGATAAAAAGCTGACTTAGTAACTGCCTTTATGTGCCTCTGAAGGTTCAGATCTGAGCCCATCATCACACCAACATTTCATTCATAATAAGTGGTTTCTAGCTGCAGTAGCTGAAGCTGAAAGCTAACTCTGGATCTGAAGATTATTTCCCAAGTTTAAACTTAATTCAGTTGGAGAAAATGACAACACATCTAAGCACTGATCTGTTCAATAAATCAAGCCCTGATGGAAAGGGAGCTAACAAATTCCAACATGATAAACTAAATAATATTTTTGTTTTATTCAATAAGATTGATTTGCTGAAAATGTTTGACGGATATTACTATTGTTAACCATACAGCATGTCAGGTAGATAAGGAATTGGTGCAAAGTAAAGGATTTGAGTGAATCATCTGAACCTTAGAAATATTCCCATTTGAAAAGGTGAATTTGATTGTCTAAATTTGATGATTATAATTGTATCTAACTTAATGAATGCAACTGAATGTAAATCTTGATGATGATGATGATGGCTTAATTGGAACGATCTAAGCTGCATTTAGACAGACTTGGTTTTTGTATATATGGATAATTACAAGTCAGTTTTAAAATAGTCTTAAAAGGATATTTGATGTAAATATATAAATAAACTTAATGCTGTATAGAATAGAAGGTATATATACAGCACATAATGTAGAAATCTGTTATTTATTGTTGGTTCATGACAGATATTTCAACCGTAATGAGGTTTTAAGTATTGAACCTTCAAAAATGGATTGGTGGATATACAGACAGCAGTTATACAACTACTATGAAACAAAGGAGAATCAAAGGCTATTTTCACCCTCCAGGCAAAAGTGGCCCAAATCCAAATTTTTTGCTCAAAGGTGACCTATATTCATTTTTTTGACAGTCTGAGCAGCACAAATCGGGTTGCTTTTCAAAGCAGTCATGTTGCATTTTGTCTTTTCCACTATGTGGGAAAAGTCCCAAGATTTTACTTCAAAATAAAAGTCTTGGCACAATAAAATCTACTTCCATTAAACAGCCACTTAGATTAATCTAGTCATGATCTTGCCAGATGTGTAACATTTATATTTAGTCCTGTAAACTGAGCAGGATGTGTGATAATACGTTTTTTTTTAGCAGGTCTGTGACTTCAGGGCTACACATTGTTCACTTGTGTCTGAAGCTGCTTATATATAAAGTGAGCAGCCATGCAAAAAAATTAATAAAGAAGAAACAAATCTGAAATAAGCATTTGTTTTATGTTTCAACACTTAAATAAATCCTAACCTGGTCTGCTTGCTGACACAAACTAAACGCTATTTTCCTTCTTAAGCTGATAGGTCTGCATTTGCTTGTCAAATGTGACAAAAACAGCAAACACCAGCAGCCTTCATCAGCACGGGTGCCTCTGAAACGAGCTTATTTGACTGCCTGGGTTGGAGTCAAAGACTGGGCTGCTGTTAATGTGTAGCAAGAACTTCCCATTCGAAGCACACTGGCTTCGTTGTGCAGAAACAAAGGTGTGACAAAAGATGAGCCGAATTTCACAACTGCCTGGATGCATTACATCAGACTGAGAAAGAAACCAAAGAATTTCAACACTGAGCAGAGCTGAAACTGAGCGGGAAAGGCTGAACAACGTGAAGGGAACGTTACAAAGAGTTCCGGCTCGGTACATCATGTTTTACTGATCAGGAAAGACTTCTGATTTCTTTTTATTTTAGAGCATCAAAATAAGTCAAACCCTTTAAGCTTTGTTATTTTTTTTTTTTTTTTACATTTTGTCATGTTTCAACCCTCAACTTCTAATCATATAGTTTTAATATTTTGTGCTCAATCAACACCAAATGGTGCCAAATTATGGTGGTGTTTCCATTACAAAGTGTTCCAAAAACGATGAAAATATTCTGCTGATTACAAAAAAAAAAAAATCAAAATTTTTCTCAATGCAGTATTTCTACTAAATAACAAATAGGATTAAAACTGCACAGCATAGCAGCATTGGATGTAAAAAGTGAGATATATCCATATTTTTAGCCAACACTAGTCCTCGTCACAAGCTAAATATAAAAAAAATACTTATGAATCCAAATTAGCCGCAACATCATCCTCTAATACTTATAATACTTCCGCTCTTCTTCATCTTTTTGTCAGGCAGTAAGGTCCAGCTGCAGATCACGTGACCCATGTAGTGTTAAACATGTTTCCGTTTCTAAATATGATAATTTCAAGGTTAAAAAAAAAAAAGGGTAAAAAAATTGAAAATCAGAGTCCTTTCGAAAATACAGTCTTTCCATTTAAAAAAAATAAAAAAATTTTATTAGAATTTGAGCAATTTGATGGTTAAGCCTTTATAGGGCTTTATCGTTTTGGATTACTTGCATACCCCTTACAAATGTATCTATATATCAAATGTAACTATATGGCAGTACATGTCAGTTTTGCATTTGACCGGTTAGATGAGGGTGACATTTTACCTACTATAAACTCAATTGAAAAAAAGTTAATAAGTTGAAAAACCTAATTTAAAAGTTAAAAAGTTAATGAGCCAAATTAAAAAGTATAAATGGTAAGTGCCTGTATCAGCATTAATGCTCCAAGGTTATGTTGCAGTATAAAAACTGTGTTTCTTTCAATGTTTTTCATTAATTTCTTATAGAGATTTTTCTTAATATGTTAAAACAAAATACCATTTCGAGTTTTTACATTGACCTTGATTTTTGTCATCAATATATACTTATTTTTTAAAGTTACAAGAGTTATAAGGTCTTGTTCTGTCCTTCAATAACACTCTTGAATTGAAATTTAGATCGTTTAAGTATTTTACTGAGAGCCCTATAAAGGGTCGATGGAAGCGCAGCTTGTGAGGAGAGGAAAAGTGCATCTTAAAAAGGCAGGGCTGCTTTCTCCTAACCTTAACATTTACAAATACCTTCTTTATTTTCTTCTTTGTCTTGTTAACGAGCTTCCTTATTAATTACTCTCCATGCATTCTCTCTCTAACCAAGTTTCACTGTTTGGCTATTGCTTCTGTTTAGGAGTTTGAAGGCTCCAACCTTCATTTCAGATGTGTTCTCTGTAGGAAAGCCCGACCTTTGACAGCACACACCTCTGTTTATCTAACATGCCTGTGTCAGTTATGCTACTATCCTACAGGGAAGAGGCAGAAAGGGGGCAACAAGCAGTCTGGTTAGCTATGTGTCTAAATGACTTGACAGCCACAGCTGGTATTGAAGGAAACGGCCGTGTTAATCCTGTGAGGGCGGTGTGATGCAGATCTGCTTCCATCCAGAGAGGTGAGCCCGGAGCCAAGGTTTGCTGGTGGCTTCCAAGGAATGACAAACAATACTGTAAAAGCAGCAGTCGTAGTAATTTGAAATGACATCGGATAGACCCTGCCCTCTGTAAACAGAGGAGGGAGCTACGCTGACAGATATCTGGCTCCATCAGGCCATATAGCTGGCCAGTTACAACACATGAACCGCAAACCCATGATGGTAAACGGCCAATGTTCAACCTTTGCTTATCTGCAACAGCAAACACACCTTTATAATGAGACATAAATCTTATCGGTCTTCAAGGCACATGGAGCCTTTCTGCAGAATCTGACCCCTGTGCAGCGGTGCGTTTAGCTTGGATGACATTGCATGGCTGAAACAGAGCTGCACGCACATTTACATCAAATCCTATTTTCTCCAAGTGGCCCCATTTGTCTCTCAGTGAGTCAGCAAGCTCAGGGCACCTCTGCAGAGCATCAGGGAGGGTCAGAGCGAGACAGAGCAGCGTCTTTGATCTGGTGCACAGAGAGGACAGAACAGTGAGGGGCACTATGAGCATGCTTCTGGGTAGGAGTGTTTTCTTGCCCATGGTAAAAAACATTATTAGCTAAATTTAAGCTGAAGGACAAGTCCTTATGCAGGAGCTTCTTCTTCCCCTGAGCTGCTGCTGCTCAGAGGAGGCATGAATGAAGAGCCAGGACGTGATCTGATGAGTTTATGAAATATAACCACCAACATAGAGCGCCTTAAAAGTCTCTTAAGTAAATTGAAACCTTTTCTGTTTTTTAAAAACTTAACACTAAAATTAAATTCTTTATCGTAGACCATCTCTTAGGTTCATTGCTTTAAAGGTATTTCCAGCTATCTTCTCATTAACCCAAATCATCTCTCATGCCACTGCCACCATGTTTCACAGAGAGAATGACACGTTCAGAGAGATGCTTGGGGTTAAGTCAGGATTATTTACATTTTTGCTTTGGTTCCCTTGTTGACATCTCTGCAGCTCCTCCAGAGTCACTGAGAGCCGTTTTAAATGTGTTCACCAATGTTCTCTACCAAACCTTTAAAGCTCTCCTTGATAAGGTGCATTAAGTGTGGGATAAACTAAACACAAGTGGATTCGCTAGTTTAGTGACATATGAAGATCAAAGTTTGCACAAAATTTGATTTAGATATGTCAGGGGTTGACGTTGCCCTTTGGGCAAGTGGCTTTCACATTTCATTTGCTCAGAAACAATTTTTACTTACCCAGTATAATGTTTGATAAATATAGTTCCTAATATTCATTTTTGTATATATATATATATATATATATATATATATATATATATATATATATATATATATATATATCAATGAAACATGTTTGTTTTTTACATGTTTTTTTGTAATTCAGTATTTTTTAAGTTTACAGGTTCCTGGTGTGTATATGCATGCGTCAGATAATGAACTTAATCCTACATTACCGTGTTAACATGCTTTTCAATCCTTCCTGCACGTTCTTTTCAAACTTAACTTTGCTTTAAACTGTTGTGTGCTTGGAAAAATATAAATTGTAATGTTAAAAATCTAAAAAAAACCTTGACAGGTTAAAAACTTACACTACTACTACTCACCAATTTAGCATATTTAGCTCTATAACATTTAAATGCACCACTCCAATGTCTAAGAGAAAAAAATGTAATGAACATTTTTTAAATGTATGACCACTGTAAAGAAGACTGCCATATGATAGAAATATTTACACTGTTCGCATACAATTATTATTATTTTCCTAATCCCTGACTGATCATTTTTAAATTTAGCGTGTATTATAGTATAGATTAAATTCATCATCCAGCTGCAGAGTCTTTTTCAAATCACGCGAGAATGTGTACAAAACAACAAAAATGGCGCCGGCAACACTTGTGGGTCGTTTTCAGCGAATGTCGGTGATTTTAAAGTAATTTTGAGCGACAAATATTTTTTTTTTGCGATCATTGAACTTGCCCGGCAGGCAAATACAATGAAATTTGTACTAACACGACAATAAAAACTACTTGCCACGGGCGATGGTTTACATCGAGCCCTGTAAGTGAGAATAAAAGCTAAAAAAGGTACTTTCTCCTTATTTTTCCTATTAACCCCCTCAAAACAAACAAGGTTGCTGAAATATTAATAAAAAAAAAAAAAATTCTAAGGCAGATATTTTCACTTTACAACAGAAGAAACCACCCTTCTTTTTTCTGGACCCACTGTCTGGCCTGCAGAGAGAATAAAAAGAAGGCATCTGGCCGTTACTGTTGAGGTGGTGAAACACAGAGCTGAGTGGAAGCTATGAGCCACTCTCTCAATAACACCAATCCAAGCTCTCTTCTATTAGCTACTAGCACAGCACATAGGAGATGGAAACCTATTGGGCAAAGGGTGCAACCTTGCACGCCGGTGGGGATCACATCTATTCTCTAGATTATGGTTTGAAAGATGCAATGCTTCCTGAGGACTACCTAAAGAGTAGGACCACAGATATCTTGCCAACTTTAAAGAGAGTCCAACTTTTAGTAAGCAGTAAAAAAAAAAAAAAAAAAAAAAAGAGACCTGTTGTTCAAAACTGAGAAAATTCTGACATTCAACCGTTTCTTGTTAATTTCTCCATTATCTTCCTGCACAGTGGCTGTATTTAGGGCTGGTCTCTTGACACACAGAAAAAGAACCACTCTCTTCCAAGTAACCGCTGGGGCTTTTCAGGAACATTGATGCAATTTCTGGTACTGCAGTCCGTGCCACCTCTTTCCTCTCCTGCCAGTCTTAAAAGTCGCATCTCATTTACAAGCAGAACGACCGGTAAACAGTGCATGAAGCATGCAACTTAATGCTGTTTCATGCATGCGTCTTCACCAGCTGAGCAACGGACATTAAACATTTGTTAAAAAAAACGACAGGGCTCTGTGCCAGGAGGAGTTCACAGAAACAAAAAGGATTTAAAAATAGTAAAAATCTTTCCTCAGGATTAACATTTACTGTATAAAGCCAAATAGCAGCTATGTTTGTTTCAGTTGCTAAGAAAACTTCTTTCGTTTACCTGTTTGGTTCCGGGTCGAGGTGTCGCTGCCCACGCTGCCGTTCTCTTGCTGAGCGGTCAGAGTTTTCAGAATGACATGAGTTGCCCCAAGGCGAGGCAATGTCACATGGGTCAGGTGAGGGAGAGAGTTTTTCTTTGCAAACACCTGGCTGGTTTCTCGCCTCTTCCTGAGGAAGCCTCCCTCGGGGAAGAGCACTATCCACTTCCTGTCGCGGCTGTGGTAGTATTTTTCTAAATGCTCCCTCAAGTAGACGAGCTGCTTGTCTCTGTGAGCTTTACCCTGATCAAAACACAAAAACAGAAACATGCATATAAGTGTAGAGGGTTTAGCAAGAATGGTTTAATGACACTGCAGCAGGCTGAATGGTCTTACACCTCTTTAAAGACAAAACAAACTTAAATATCCAGCCTTCTTTGTGAGCTTTGGCCCCATTTTCACTACAAATGAAAGCAGCACAGTGTAAGGGATTTCGAATGAAATTCGAATCGCCAGTGTTTGGAAAACAAAATGTCTGCCTGTTTTCTGGTTCATTATGTTCAAGTATGTATTTAGCCCATTTATTAGACTTTCTCTTCCTTTGATGCCTCCACTAGAGGTTTATATATTTTAGTGGCTGAGAGCCTAAAACCCAGAAAAAGGTGGTGGGGGCTTTCTGAAAAAAAAACTAAGAAAATTAAGTCGAAAATATGGCTAAATTTTTTATCAATATTGTTTTAGCAACCTTCAGCAGTAATTAGGCCTGCACGATATAACCAAAATTACACTTTATTTTTATTTTCTTCTGCACTTAACAGAAACATGAGATGTTTCACTGCAGGTTTTCATTTTTTCATGACATTAAACTTTGCTTGTCTAGAGTCCATTGTTGCAGGACTTTACTGTTGTGTGGAAAAGTTCTTCCATCTGCCTGCATGAATGGATCTGGATCCCTTCTGAGTGGCGACAAAGTCACACCAAGCATATTGTAGCCACCTAAATGTGATGAGACCAAAACTGGATGCCACTTGCTTTGGAAAATTGCGTTTTGTTAAATTATATTTATATTACAAATGCAATGTTTTGCCTAGCCTTCGCAAAAGTATTCATACTACATGTTATATAAATACTGATATACAACAATCATATTGGCAGAGGTCAGTGCTTTAATGCGGAACATGAAAAAACAGACAACGGGGGGCAGAGAGGACGGATGGTTGGCTATAGAATGGATGAACTAATAGGTGGATAAATTCAACGTACAAAAAGATGTATAAAACAAATTAACTGGTGGATGAGCGAACAGAGGATTAGATAAATACGGTCCGATGGATGATAAGGCAAAAATGCATAGAAAACATCGAGCCTTAAAAAATGGACAAAAGAAGGTATATGAATGATAGTAATGAAAATAAATGGACAGAGACGAATTGTCTGTCCTGACAATTTTTAACCCTTTGGTTAATTTTACACGAGGCTGTTCAGGTTAAGGTAGATTCAACCACAGAAATGGAAAAAATACTGATTCAACGTTCGCTCATTTTAAACCACTTTCACTGTCTTTAATACCACGACTGAAATGGATGCAAACCAAGATGGCCATGACAAGATAAATGCATTAGCAAGGACAGGATGAGGAGAAACGGTATCGATTTTTAGTTAGGCATGGTCAAACGCCATTTTAAATGTATTAGCTCAACCAGCCAGCTCTCCATGTGAGCATATTTGTTTGTCAGTGCAGAGGTAATGTGATACAACACAAGTGCTGCACTACTACAGTCAGGGGGTAAAACGGCAATTCATTTATCCAATGGAAAATCTGGGCTCCTGTTAAAACAGACGACGCTGAGGAGGTTCGACACTTTATAAGAGACGTCTGTGACTGTTGCAGTTTGGCTGCAGATAAAACGGTTTCCTCCACAGAGGATACGCAAATACAAAGGTTCTGATGGGACCAGCTCATCACCTGGTCCAATCTGATTTTTAGCCAACTGTCTCTCAAGTCTACAAACAGTTTAGCGTTGTTGGCCGAGCTCCTGCTCCCTTTAATTAGTTTACTTAACTGACATTTAGCTGAGCTAAAACCAACACAAGAAATTCCACTCAATGATGTTTCCTAGGATAAAATATCTAATCTTTCTGGATGATTCGATTGAAATGACTATAAAAGTACCTTGAGATTAAATGAGTTGTGAATTGGCACATTATAACTAAGCAGATTTTATTTGAGATGATTTTAAAAAAAGAACATGATGTTGAACTTGAGGTATTTATATCAGCAGTAGCTAATACATGAAAGGCTACTGTAATTATTTCAAAGATGTAGAGATAAAAAGTATCTGTCTACATTTGAAAATACAAAACCAAGTTATTAACTAAGGAATAAAATTCTTAAATATACAGAAAAATATGCAAAAGGTGCATCTATATAGCCTAGTAAACTAGCCCCACCCGCCAGCGGCCAAAATCATTTTTGCCTGCGAATGCCTAGCCTCGATCAATGCCTCAGGCCCAAGAACTGCCGGACCAATCACAACACAGAGATGTGTTTTGAATTTTTGGGTGCAAAGCGGGCGAGGTTTTGAGGGCGTGACAACAAAGCTTTGCGACGCTGGAGAAAGCACAACAAGGAAGATGGCAACAACTACTGAACAGTAGCATGCACTGCGGCAGCAGCAGCATTCAATGGAACGCTCCATTGAAAGTTAAAAGTTCTCTTTTCTGTTGAATTTGTTCAATAGAAGTATGTTTTAAGACCATTCGAGGCTGGAATATTAAACTTTAAAGTGTCACTATATGGTCCATTCACCGATTTAATGCGTAATTAAAAAAGCAATTCCCAAAGTTGAGAGGACTGCAGCAACCAGCAGACCTCCGAGGCCAATGGCAGCCATGGTTAACCGCAGCCAGTCTGCAGCGGCCCTCTCTCGGCATAGTCGTGTGTAAAGGACCGCTGGCTCTGATGGACTGATGGATTAGACTTGGGGTTTTCATTGAAAAAAGAGCAGAAAGAGGCTCTACACTCATAAATTTTTAAATAAAGGACGTATTCGCCGTTTTACCGACATGCTGTTTGTTTACACTCAGTCATAGTTGCGCTCATTGGTGAGAACGTTGGCCAATAGGCACAGACATGGTTTGAAAAATAACGGGTTGTTCTCATAAACAATCTTCCGATGTCTCATTCATCCGGGCCAGACTAAATTATACATTAAATCTCACATTTAGTCTGGTTTATAAGGCTAGCATCTATAGGAAGAATTTTTTTTGTCATCCTTTTGTATTTCCCCTAATCTAACAACATACGACTTTTTCTTTCACATAATACAGAAGCTAAAATCTTAATTTAAAAAGCTAACGAGAATTTTAGTAGAATATATCTCTAAATATCAACTCATGTCAGCTGGCATTTAATGGACATTGCAGAATCTGCATTCAGACACTTATGTTTGGTGGATTTATTGAGCTTCTTCAGTGGCACTGGAAAAATAAAACTAGGCTGAGATAGAGTATATGTGGTGGACCTTCACTGTGCTCCATCCATGAAAGGTGGGCCACTGGGCAGCGTGTACCATAGCAATGAGCAAACAGTAGGTGCTCCTGCAGCAGCTGTAGAGAAGCTGAGTGAGTCTATCTGAGAAAAGGTGGCCACACATTAGCTAGCCAAAAGTAGGAAGGTAAACATTTCTGCTGTCGCTCAGTCTTCCTCTTACAGTCTGGCTTGACAGAGCAAAGGGCTACCATGACCAAAACAGAGAAGTGAATTCCCTCCCAGCCTGCGGTTGTGCCCCCTCAAAAAGACTTGTGTTGCCTCTTTGTATAATTTTTGTTTTTTGAGCTGTTGAATACATTCTGATTCAACCTCAGGGTAAATATGTAGATGGATTTTGCAGTTTTAATATGAAGAGGGCAAGGGAGGTCTCTAAGCATATAAAATGAGAGATATTGCAAACATGTCCAGGTGGCGTTGGCACCAGTAAATCCTGTTTAAACAAAGCAAATCTGTCCACTGCAGTAAATATTATTAACATCTCTGTGAATTACAGAGTTTAAGCTCCATAAATAAGGTTTGGAACCAGCTGAAAGGGTAAAAAAAAAAGGTTGGTTAACATAAATAATGAATTTATTTCAAGTTCTCTGTTCTCCTTCATTTAAACCTACAATAAAAATAAAAAGAAGAATGTTGTAGTGGGATTTCAGAGCCCTCTAAAACAGACCTTCTATCCCGAAACTGTCAATCAACTCACCGGAAGTCAAGAAACAAATCATTTTCCAGAGGTTTCCACATTAGGGTTTCTAAATAACATACAATGTAGTTCCTGAAGTTTTTGCAAGTCATTTTATTCCATGTCCAAGTCAAATCTCAAGTCCCCGATGACTGAAACATTTTCTCATCATTTCTATGGCAACCTGGTCTGCTGACAGCACTGCATTGCTATTGGTTAGAATTTAAAACCTGCACTATTTAACTTATCCTTTTTTTAAATATTGAAAAAAATGAAATGGTATAACTTAAGCCTCTTTCCCACAAAAAAATACCGGGCTAACATGTTTCTTTTTTCAAAAAAAGGGTCAACCCTCTACAAACCGCCATTTGGCTCCCTTCCCTCTGGCAAAAAAAGCTGAGTCTGTTGCTCTGTCAGCTAAGGAATTGTTTTACAGAGTCTCTATACTCCATTTAACGATTAATCGATTACTTAATTAATTGACGTTTATTTCAATAACTGATTAATCTGAGTGTTTTATACCTAATATTCACACAACAAAAGCACAGCCATATTTAAACAGCACCCCATATGACCAAGTTATTCACTCAATCTCCATCTCCAATCTCAATCTCAAAACAAGTTGATTTTGAGGCGAGTCATACTTGAAACAATCCCTAAAAATTCCATTCTATTCCAGGAATTTGCAGATAAGCAAGAGCCCTGATGTTTCCATGTGTAGAATCTGTTCTGATTCAGAGTTCTTGCCACAGCCTCCTTAGGTATACAAGCATTTAGGAATAAAGCCATTTTCTGACCTACAGAAATAAGAGGATGGCGTGTAATCCACAACCAAGACAAGCAGTGACAACGTGCCTCTGGCAGTCCGAGTTAAATGTGGTGTGTTGTGGCCCAGAGGCCTGTGCTTCCAATCCTTAGACCATCAGAAAAACAAGGTGTTGACAAGTTAGGAGCACAAAAAAGGCTTTTATTTTGGGATGAGTGTAGCTGAAACCTTTGATGTGAAAATACCAACCAGAAAGTAGGCTGGTTGTCTCAAAGACATTGGAGGTTTGATCAATGTTGAAGGTTACAGAAGAGTTCTTTAAAATGTAAAAACAAAAACAAAGATAATGTTGAACTTTGACCCTTACCTGTCTGATGAAGAAGTCCCCATGAATCAGGGACACTAGACCAAAATTGGTGTATTTAAACACATGGTCCATTAACCACATCATTTTTCGCACCACCTGAAAAAAGAAAAAACAGAAATTCAGTTGTTACAACCACTTATTTTTCTTCTGCTCAAAAGTAGAACAAACTGATATCGCCCCCTCTGATCACTTCCGCCCGCATGACCCAGACAAACGCAGCAGCGGCTTACTGGCCTTTCCTCTCTAAGAGGATAAAGTGTGCCGGGGATGCAGCGGTTGAGATGCATCACGCTCATGTCTACGCAAAGTGACTCTGCACTTCCAGTGGCTTACCAGCATGAGCTGAAGCAAAATCATGAACGACCACAATGCAGAAGTAACTGCTGGAGCATGCCATCAAATTTACACACACATTGTCAACAAATGAAAATGGCAGACGATATAAGTTTAATTTAGGGATTTATAAAAGAAAACGCTTATATAGATCCAGAATAAAATATTATGTATGTCTATTTTTGTTAATTGCATAGATACCAGCTTACAGATAGTTTAACAAAAAGCTTAGTCTCTCAAAAAATGTTATAAATATTTCTTAGCAGATTTAATATGTGACAAATCTCTATATAGTACATGTACTATACTATAAATGTACTCAATATTTTGTCAGGGCATTGTCTGCTTAAATTACTGAGTCAATATAAGATGGCTTTCTTTCTTCCACTTAACTTTTCAGTAATAAGCATGTATGGGTACAACGCACTATGAAAAGCCACATTTTTATAAGAGGACATTTATACATTCGATATTATTCACCATTTGAAAATAAAAAATGATTAACAACGAGGCCCTGGAGCATGATTTTAACGTTTATGCAGGACAATCCCTCTCATATTAGGCAGACAGCCTTTACAAAAAATCTCCAGTGGGCTACTACAGACCGCTCTGGACAGCTTATTAGCCCCCTATATGACATCATAAAAGGCATGAATTTCAAACAGAACATTTTGAGCATGCATTAGCTAAGTGGTGGAGAAAGGCAAGAATAGACTCTCATACACAGATATTAGGACACATATCACCGTTACAAAATATTTATGAAGTGAAGTGTGCATAATATGGGATAATCCTTTTTTAAAAAGTCGGCTAGTTTAATTTTTTTATGAAAAACTGATTTTGGGGTTTTAATTGGTTGTTTACAACTGTAACATGAAAATAAATTAACATGTTGATAATCTTTTAAATTCCTTCCATCTATCTGTTGATGCTTTGTTTAAATGCCAATTTATATTTTGAGAGAAAACATGGCAACCACAGCATTAGTGAGTTGTAATTAGACTGAACTAAACTTTCTTGGTTTAGAAATTTCAATGTTATCCAACAAATCTGAAGCGTAGTGCTAAAATCTTGCATTCTGAAATGTTTATCAAAAAGGACTAAAACGTTCTAAAATTGGATATCTGTTAACTTGAACAACGTGAAACTAAAATTCACACACATTATACCTTCTTTTTTTTTTACTGCATATCAGAAACTAAGACAATGAAATTTTAACTTTTTTGGGGGGAAATTTAATTAAATTAATAATAAATACAACTCTAAGTCAAACATCTATATATAGGGAATGCAGTTTGAGGTTTTAGCATCTTCTTTCTGAAAAACTAGTCTGACAAAAAGCCTTTCCTACAAACACCAATCTTACTTCATAAGTAGAAAAACACTGACTTGCAGCCTCGCGGGGAATAATCAACCTTGTATCCCATAACTCAGTAGTCGAAACTACAGTAGATCAAGTCATCTTCAACAGCAAAATAATAACTTAAGGTCTCTGTTTGCATTATGGGAAGCTAGACTAACAGTAATTTTATTCATTTAAGAATAATCTGTTTTGGAAACTTGGCCTCCGTCTACTTTGCACAGAAGCCAGAAACGCCATCAGATGAGTTTCAAGCCTTTATGACCCAGAATCGAATGCAAAATGAAGTCAGACAACATGAATTATGACGAGTTGGAATACAGCTTTTAAACTCGTGTAAAGAAGCTGCTCTGCTTTTTAATTTATACTGATGTTCCACCTCTGCAGCCTTGACACAGAGACGTTCCTCAGCGTCTTACCGTGCCCTTGTCTTGGAGGCACATCATGAGAGTGCAAACGTCCCCAGTGGACTGATGATTGACAATGACCATGGCTTCTTCTTCAGAAATGTCCCGCACGTCATCACCCCATTCTGTGACTGGAAGCAGAGAGACACGCATTTTGATCAATCATCAAGTTTTAAAATTTATGTTCACCTTTTTTTTTTTTTTTTTCTTTTTTTTTACCAAAGTTTCTGTTTCAGTTTAAGACACAGAAATATTTGAAGTAACTGCGCTTTTGATGAAAGAAACCTGATTATCTCAGAGTGAAAATAAAAGTCTTTACTTTTCAAGCAACATTTTGTTTGGACCTTTTCTGAACTTAATGTTTTTAGCCTTTATATTGTACATTTAATACTGTAAATATTTTCAAACATAATCTAAAAAGATCCTGACAGCGTGATTGCAACTAAGTGTTTTCTCAAGGTGTGCCTTTGTTTGCACCTTGCCTTATTTTCTGTGCTAATCTGTCAGTCAACAATCTGCCACAACATTACACCCATCGATCAGCTGTATGTGGATACTGGGCAGAACATCTTTTATAAACACTGTATACTTGGAATTGTTTAGCACAGAAAATGAAGGACAAGCGCTAAATTCCTTAGAATAAAGATATTTCTATGGGTTCTCCTTAATTTAAATAGTGATTCCAACATGGAAGAACAACGCCCACCTCCAAATTGAGCATACAGGCCAGCTATTAATGCTTTCAGCAAAGAGGGGCAAAGAAGAGGAATGCTCCAGCAGTGGCTTAGTTGTTTTTTAAAGGATGTATCAAACAGCTGTACCATAACTAAAAACAACTTTGGACCCTTTAAGTAACAAGTTTATCATCAGTAGCCATGTTTTTTTAAAGGGTTTCAGACTGTGTTCAATTAATTTCTGCACCCCCCCTGCTTTTTCTCATGCCCATTATCAGCTGATGAAAATACTGAATGGATTTCCTTCTTTTACAAAGGCTGAAATGGATTGTGGAGGTGCAGAAACCTTCTGCGTTTTATAAGGAGACTTCCAATAACACAAATTTGCAACATAAGATCAAACGATTACTTGAGCCCTCAGGGTAGTTCTCATACCTGTCAGGATGCCAAGTCAAGCTTAGTTCAAACACGTCTAAGAAAAACAATGGGCGTGTTGCCTTTTATCAATACAAGACAAAAAGCGTGAGTTTTCCTGGGTAAATATAAAGTAAAAACCACTGACTTTTTCAACAGGCAAAAAAATAAACATGCCCTTGACGCTTCATCCTGCAACATTTTTGAGGATGCATATCCTCCCAGAACAGCAAGCTTTACTAATCTGGGCCTTATCACCATATTTCTCAGAACAAGAAATAGACCTGATCTGTCTTTTTAAGAAAATACTACATTTTCAGGACACCATTAATCCTAAAGTTGTAAATCAGAAAATATTTGTTTGAAAATTATGATCAAGTTAAGCTTTATTTAATTATACTGAGAAAAACACAGGTGATTATCATCATCTTGTATTTAAGGCAGTAAACAAAACATGGTGGCAAGCCATTTAAATCAGACATGTATGGTATATAATGAGGCTTATTCCTTTTCACATTTTAATGTAATATCCACAGGACTACTGCAAATTTTTTTTTTTTTTTGTGGACCTCATTTGACCCAGAAGCCGGTTCCCGGCTGCCGTAACATAATTTATTTTAAAAACATATTTGGTTCAATTTCAGTTCAGTTCCAAAAGTATTATGTAGTGTATGCCGACTTTATGCTATTTGCTATGCTGAACAATTAACAAAGGGGCATGTGTATTCATGCAGAATGACAACATGCTGGTTTGCGGTTGGAAATGAGGAAGAAGAAGTGAAATATTCAGGAAATGGCAGCACCCTCACTTTTCATCTGTGACCACTGTGTGGAGCACAGGATGACTTTCACATTCCGGTTTGCTGCTGGTAAATGTGTAGAAATATTACTTCGTTTGTGATGAAACATTCAGCCATCAAGCTCGAAATATTCATAGGATGAACATTTTTGTCTGTGCAGGAAAGCCCTAAGTATCTACTGGGAGACCTGGGCATTGGTTGTGAATCTTTGACGGCATGACGTGACGCTTATTTGCAAGAAAACGAAAAATGCTCCCCTCCCAGGTGAATCAACATAAGGGCATCAATCTACATCAGAGAGCAGAACTGCAGCTTTGTTCACTGTCAAAGAAATATAAATAGCAGGGAGCTAAAATATAGCTGCAAACTGCAGCTCTCCAGGCCAAGAACAGGCAGATCTATTAAAGCAGGCAGCACACAGGTACATGGAGGCCTTACCTTCTCACAAAGCAATTTGGATCAGGAGCTGACAAAAGGTTATGCAGATATGACTCATTTCTTTTTTATTTACAACCAACGTCATTCAACTGCCAGAAATGGAAAGAATTACAAAAAAAAAATAAAGAGTATGAGAAAGATGATCCAGAAAAGGCTGACTAAAATGCAGTCCTGGAGATACATGATAAAAGTAATAGAATGTAAAACTCAACAAAATGGCAAGTTCCCATAAGTTCCTCCTGTATGTCGGACAGCCCCTGCACTCATGTCCAGCTGGCTAATTTACGATTTGTATGCACATTTTATGATCACTAGGCTCTGTTTTCCAAAAGGTTCAAACAAAATGACAGAGGAAATTCACTGCCTGTTTGCACAAGCTGCTCCGACACAGATTTGTATGGCTGGGTTTCCAATAATCAGCTGGGAAATTCTCGGTAGAACGAGGGAGTCATCCCTTTTACCTAACAAACATCTATTACTTTCATTTACAAGCCTGCCAGCAGCTATTGAGCGGACAATACCAAACGGTAATTGCTTCAAAATAAGATTAAATAACAGCGTCGCTGGAAAATGAAACTACTGACTGATGTTATGATTTGAAATATTTGAAGCATTTGTAAATAAATAAGGAACTTGATTGAATTTGTGAGTTTTAGTAAAATGATCAAAATATTATCAAAATTGTGATAAAAGGGACATTTTTGCAATGTTCACATTCATATACCGAAGAATGGCAGATATGGTGAGTTCAAAGCAAGGCATCCGAAAAAGAAGATGCTATTACAATTCAATAACCTGAATCAGATGGAAATTTGGAAGAAACTCCACATATCACTTAATTATTAATTTGTAGTTTAAAAAAAAATAAAAATTATATCATCGTCCAACGATTCAGTAATGTAATCTCTCACAGATGGATTCTGCATCAATGGGAATAGATCACCTCACTGGAAATGGCTTCGGCTTGGTTTCACATCTCTGATTTAACACGTACTAGGTGATGATTTAAGGAAGCAAAAGGACTCAGAAACCATGAAGAGGTTGCCGTTTTTCCTCTCTTGTAAGGCAAGTTGAATGTTTGCCAATAATGGTGGCAGACATGGTAAATAGCACAATTAAAGGTTGGAACGAGAGCGAGCATTAAAGCCCCACCTACTGGTCAGGAGGAGTACAAACTTGTAGCTATCTAATTTAGCTGCCAAAATAGGATTCTTTATATTCAATAAGAAATGTTATAAATATGCATTTATTTACAGATTCTTCATAAAATCAAAACAAGCTATTTAGGGTGGTGATGTGGTTGGTGATGCATCCCAGCATAGAGGTTGTGGTTTTTCAAAGTGTTTGACTGCTAGCATTCTTATGCATTGTTTATACCCCATAAACAATGCTATAAGAGAGAGTAAAGAGAACATGCTTCATATTATTTATTTATTTAGGAAGGATAGGTTATTTCTAGGGCTGAACGATTTTGCCAAAAAAGCGAGCTTGTTTTAAACCAACATGGCGCCTTAATTACAATTTTCCTTTGCACTAAGCAGAGGCGCGCAGATGTTTTGCTCCAGGGTGTCTGTGTTTTAATGACCTTGACAGCTTGCTTGTCCAGAGTCCATTGTTGCAGGACTTTTCTGCAACCTTTGCATGACTAAGTTCTTACTTCTACTATCAAGCATGGATCTGTGTACTAGCTGCAACTCACTCGTCCCTCCTCTGTGGTAGCAAATCCTCTTAAAGGGTATTACTGCCACCTAAGGGGCTGGAGGGAGAGGGAGAAGTTTTGCCAGTGAAATATGAAAGTGCAATTGTATTGCAAATGCAATGAATTGCCTGGGCCTGGTTATTTCACACTGGTCCTTTGTTTAGCTGCGCAAATAATTCCGTTTCAGACGTATGTATCCAAACAACATAATTATGAAAGTACAAGTCTTGGATTTCTTTGGCTAACAACACTTTTTGTTAATCCTGTACCACCTATTTTGATACGTAAAGTCAAGCGGAGTCTTTCTTCATGAATAAACATGCAAATTCACATCCACACTAGAAATGACCTGCTGAAGGTCTCACATATGCAGGATTTTTTCCTCTGAATTTCCACACTGTGGAATAAAGGAATGTCTGTTTTTATTGGAGACTTGCTTTAGCATCTATTAGCTTTCAAGATCATCTTCACATTTTCTGACCTGAGAGCAAGTGTTCCTTTCTACTGTATCAATTAAAAAGAAATCTGTCATGTTATTAGGTACTTGTTTATTAGCGTTTTCAGAACATTCAAAGCCAAAAGAACTTTTCTTTGTTCTCTTTTTGAGATGCAGGCTTTATTTCATACATACATTCATCCTCACAATGCCCTAAGTCGATCCATGCTAACAGGACCACATTCACTTTGTTCTGTTCCCCTAATCTACTCAGTCAGATGTCTATACAGAGCAAACAGCTGAGACCTCCCACCCGGAGTATTGATAGGATACATATGGGAGCTGCAACAAAGGAGGCGACATCGAGGTGAGTTGAGGTGGTAACGACACCAACTCCGCTGGGAAACTTCAGAGGCTGCTATTGCAAATTAAACACACTTGGACAGCTTTGCATAATAAGATTGAGGAGGTGAGATGGTACAGTCGAGCTGCAGCTGGTACAGGTGATATCCGAAGAATTACAGCAGGTCTGACCGGTTGCAGAGCTGTATAATGCAAATGTTCAATATGTGAGAGATTCTTTTGCAGAGCAGGATCCATGTTTCTGTCTGTGGAGCCTCCAGGGAGATGCAGGTTTTAGTGGAAATGTTAATTCTGGAATATTTTTTTT